CAATGGATATCAGTTGATAAAAGGAAATTATCTTCAGAAATGGAATCACTAAGGCATTGCGCTGTTATTCCACAAATATAATCTATATTTATCTTGACACCAGTATCAGGACCATGATGCCAGCTTCGAAGCGACAGAATCTAATATGAATAAACCGTAAGTGGAACATTAGGGATAATAATAAAAAATCGAACGCTGTGCGCAACGCCGAAATTATACTCCATAGAATGAATATATCCGATATTTGGGTGCTTCTGAAGTTGGTGTATATATTGATGACACATAGTTTTGCTCGAGTATTTCCATGTGCACTCACCAACCGTTGTGGCCAGCTGTATAACTAGAAACCGCTATATATAAATTGTCAAAACAAGGCTATCGTCCTGGCAATCTGGATGAAGTTTCCTCATATAAACAAAGTCAAAAATCCGGCCCTCGCGAAAAGTCGCGAAATATCCCCTCTTTTCGCGCTGCGTATCTCATTTACCGGCCCCTTAAGCCTGCCGCACACGAGAGACTTGCTGAGCAAACTGCCTCGCGACTCGCGTGGCAGCTAGCTCAGCAAGTTTCTCTCGTGTGCGGATAGGTTTCGGGAGGATTTGACCTCTCGAGGCCTTGACGAAACTATCTATCGTGTTTGATATTTTTCACCTCGCGAGGAAAAAATCTCAACGTCTGCGGATGTTGCGAGCTTAGTGCTGAGCTGCTTGAATCAATTAGCCAATGAGAAACCATAGTTTCTTCATGTGACTTTGAACAAAATGGAGGAAAATGCAAACGATTTTGTCAATTATGTTGTTGTTGAGTGGTTTTCCCAACGTGTGCGGTGAAAATGCATCTCTCGTGTGCGGCAGGCGTTAGGATTTCGATAAAAATGTCTTTATAAATATATAAATATGTAAATTCGCAGAGATTTTTGGATTTTACAGGAATTTAAGTTTCGGATATTACAGACTATATATAGTGAATAATACCTGCGTTTGCCGGTGTACGATATATTTATTATTCGAGAAATATCAAATATGTTACGGTGAGATATATTACTCGAGAAATCGTTGTACACATATTTTAAAATAATAAAGATCAGAAAATCTTGCCAAAAATATCCTATAATTTAAATCCCTATGAATCCCAAATTAAAATAATCCTCGAGCAAAACTTCTTGGACTGTATTTAGCATGGTTCCAGAGTGTTCCGGGTGGGTTCCAGGATGTTCCGGAGTGGGTTCCGGGTTTTACAAACACCCGACTGAATATAACATATTGCCAGTTGAACAATTTTGAATGTCCGATATATGAATCGAGCAACATGGACAGAGCAATCAACTATGTCAATATGAAATTTTTAACCACAGAGTGAAATTAATGAGAAACTTTGTTTAATTAATAAATTCTTGACTTGCAATGATGTGGGCGACGGCCATGTTGGTCCCTTTTCCACAAAAGAAACTCATTATCTTCTTTTGAATTTGGCACCAACATGGCTGCCATGCCTTGTCTTCAAATTCTCAAGGGATTGATTGCAAGTCAAGAATTGATCTTATTTCTTGACAATCGCGAACTACGCGCACATTTCTTCGCTTTCTGCATTCTTTCAAAATACGCTGGAACGCTGGTAGTGGCCGTACTGTTTGTATCCTTTCGCAAAGCCAAAGCTCAAAAGACCAGCTCAAATATCACTCCAAATATTAAAACCACAAGTCTCCTGCAGAGTCTTTGACTATGAATATTTCACAATGAATTACTACATTATTTCAATACACAGTATATTCGTGGTTTGCAATTGATGTCATGGCGGCCATGTTGGAGGAAAGCTAACAAAAGAATCATTAACAGCCATTGTACTGTATTTGGAGCGTGTTTTCCTCAAATATGGCCGCGCGCCATGTCTTTGTCATGTAAATCTCAAGAGATTGATTGCAAGCCATCAATTTGATTAATACGACCTTCAATTTGCAACGCCTGGAAATTCCAAAGTTACTTTCAGTATACTGAGTGTCTAACAAAAAAGTGACTCTTTTGTGACCCAAAATCACCTTTTTGTTGTAAACACCCAAACTTCATTACCTCTGGGAGTTTAAAATGCATTGTAATCAAGCATATTAAAACTGCATAAATTGACATGAAAATTCTAATTGAAAGTTAAAACGACTTAGAAATTGTCCCGTCGGTTGACTCAGTTTGATTAAAATGGTGCAACTGACTACAGAGCAAAGAGTTTTTACTGTTTTATGCTCTGTTAAATTAACCAGCACATAATCATATTCATATGCATGTTGAACGATACCAAAAGGCAAAAACTTTTAAATACCTTCCCATGCATCAAATTCGATGCAATTGTGGTTACGCACTCGTGGGTTCAGTATAGGACTCAGGCATTTAGGAAAACTATTGAAATCACTTATTGTTAAATTTGAATGCCCTACCAAACAGCTGGACGTAATGATGCGTAAAATATTGACAAGGTGCATGTATTAGAATTTAGTTAGGAATATCTCAAGGTAAAGTGCGCGATTTTCGGCTCCTGGGGAATTAAAAACAGCTTCTTAAACAGTTTCTTTATGCATAAAATTTACTTATGTCAATCATTTATGCACTCGTGGAAACCAACAGAGCGCTAAGGCATTCAAATTCTAACAATTAAATTGTTATTGGTGATTTCAATAGTTTTCGGGGTTTTTTGGGACACCCTGTACATATAGGCAGCGTTTACAATGTACAGTTTTCGTAGCGTTCTCGTATTGTTCTTAATCCTCAAGGGAACGCAAGACAATAGTCTAGTTCTCTCGAACAATACGAGAACGCTACGAAAACGGTACCATAGATTAAGGAATGAATAGATGGCTCACTCCTTTGATGTTTTTGACGCTGCCGGCGCCCACGCATGTTCTTGCCAGAGTAATGGCGGCCTAGCAAGTAACTGTAGTAAAATGCATTGTAAAATTGACATCCGTGCTATTAAATTCTGTATTTTTCCGCTTTTGGCGGGTTTAATAGAAAGATAAATCAGAATTATAAAAATACAGAATTTAGTAGCACCGATGTCAATTTTACAATGCATTTTACTACAGTTACTTGCTAGGCCGCCATTACTCTGGCAAGAACATGCGTGGGCGCCGGCAGCGTCAAAAACATCAAAGGAGTGAGCCATCTATTCATTCCTTAATCTATGTCATAAAGATTCTTAAATCATTAACATAATTGTGCAAAATAATGATGTCCACGAACGAATGTGTTTCTAAGACTGTTTTGGACGTATTTTCATCTCAACTTTTTTAATTGATTTGCTGTTGTTTTTCCAATGGTACCACTTGATTTCACGCATATGCAGACCATTGAGATTAGAGTAGGCACAATTTCTGTACCACCAAGCACCTTTACGTCTCATAGCGCAGTTGTCGTTCTCACTTTTGTCATTATCTCTGTCTTTGGTTGTGAACATCATTCCGTTGTGATAACTCAATGAATCACCGCCATTGCCTAAAAATATTTGAAGAAAGCTTTAAATTAATTTCTGGACATTGAGCATGCTTGCCGGATATCTCTTCATCAGGCCCTTTCATTAATTCTTTCATTATTATTTGTGAATCTATCGTATCCTTGAGTCATGACGTCATGCATCATGGACGGAACCAGTGCAAGGTCGCCGCGCATCTAAGGATAAGCGCAATAGAGGTGTTGATCAAACCAGATTTTTGTTGCGGTCCTCGACGGTGAGAGCATTAAATATTCAGCGAGGGTAGCGGGTTTATTAGTTCATTTTACTACTGCCACGAGTATGTTGATTAGATCCACCTCTTTAAATGCATTGTTCATAATCCTGAAAAAATTATTTGTCCTAGAATTCCTGCCATAGAACAACTACATACAACTAGAGAACTTTCTTGAATAGAATGAAATGCAGAACAGTCCGTTATCAAAATACCTATTACGTACTAAGAGTTAGCTCCCAGTGTATGGAACATTCTGCCTGATTCTGTTGAAGACATTACAAGATCCCTAGCTGGCGTCAATCAAAACCATTTTATTCAAGTACTTCAAGTAATACGGCGTCAATCAAAACCATTTTATTTAAATACTACTTGGGACCACGTTACTGGAAAGTTAATCTCTGTGCTAGTTCCTTCCATCGCGTATTTACTTGTCTTGGTGTTATAAATGAATGTTTGTATCGTCTAATGGCCAATCTTATAAATACAAAATAAATTAATAAATATACAGTGACGTCATCAAGGTCTCACTATCCCATTTTGCCATTTGGAGTCAACCATCATGTTGCATATATAATATAATGAGTCCACCACCACACTTCATGCATACTTAATGAGCCTACCGGTCACTTAATTCACACCGCGCAGAAAAGAGAGTCAATCGGTTGCTATAGTACTACTAATTCCCTATTAAAAAATGTGCGAAATGCATAGCAGTCCGCAATCACGTGAACTTGGCTAGCAATATATTGTTCTCCACGGAGTATGTTTCTTTAGTTAAGCTACTTTATTATAAAGAAGCTGCTTGCAAATTAAAGTGGAGCAGTACTTTACGACAAAAACATGTACCTATTCCGTTAGGTACTACATATTTCATCAATTTAGTACGCTTGAATATTCCATTGTTTCACTTAGATTATTTGCCATAAGCTTATTGTTATATATTTACCTGAAAAATCATCAACGTTTAGTGTGTAGTTGTCTGACTCAGATGCCACAGAAAAAGACTGATACTGGGCGTAGGCTTTCGAGCCATAAAAATCCATCAAATCAACTCTAAGAGCTCTTTGACTATATTTTGTCAAACGATGTATATTATCCAACCCTAGCCAGAATTCGCCACTCAAGTTACCAAACCCAATCTTATAATCTGACCAATTACGATAGAAATCTACACTTCCATCCTGTCGTCTTTGAAACACGGTCCAACCTCCGCCATTTTGCATGTCACACCAGACTTGGAATGTTCCAAAGGCATCAGGATCGATAGTATAAATACCATTTTTTCTTTCTCCGGACTCATAAAAGCTTCCACAACTTTTTTGCGCAACTGTATAATAGGTAAGAAAAAAGAGACAAGACCTGGAAAAACTGTTCAATGCTCCCCGAGATTCTGAATTTGTCTTTTACGAATGTTTTTTTAGGGAAAGTTGATCTTACATAATAATAATAATAATAATAATTGGCTGTGTTTACGCACATCTCAATAACAGATAAGAAAGCTTAACTATATATGATATAATGATTCCTTTACATTCCCCCATAACATGCAAGTGTGTGAAAAATTGGAAATATTCCTCAGTATGTTCTTGTTATAGTGATCCTCTTCACGATCATGAGAGCCCGCTTTCTCCAGATCTGAAATAAATTACTTAAAAAGACCTCTGTCTTTTGAGGGACGAAAAATAATTCATATGCTCACCGCTAACAAATTACATATTTTGTTATGGTTATGTAGAACTCATTATGGGATCAGAAAACAAAAGTCATAGATTACCTTTTATACTGTCTTCCACAACGAAGCAGCTTGCATTGTAGTCCTGAAGAAAAGAAAATATTGGCAGGTCGTGCTTTTTGTTTTCTTAAAAAATTATTCAACACTAGCTGGATTGCATAAAATTAGTATTCAGAAAACTTCAAATACTGTAGATTTCATCAATTAATGGAAACAAATTAAATTATTATTTGTTCCAGTTACATTTTCTAATGGACCTTTCCCCTTATAACAAAAATTTTTATCTAGACAAGTCTAGACAAAAATTTCATCACAGCTTGAAAGAGCATCACAATATTAGTAATATTCCGAAGTTTCGTTGGAAAATATTGTAAAAAGCCCTGCGAAATTTGCAATTTTGCCCCAACACCCGATTGGGCTGTCAATTTCCCATGCGCAAAATACAAAATGACTCAAAAACGGCAAATTTCGCAAGGTTATATCCGCAATTTACAACATTTCGCAACGAAACTTGGGATATTACTAATTTTGTGATGCTTTTTCAAGCTGTGCTGAAGTTTTTGTCTACAGTGTGTATCAAAATAATTCGAATCTAAATTTGACTGACTGCTGTTTATATAATACTAAAGTAAACGATATAATTTGTATATGGCAATAAAGGTTAGCCTATTAAGTTTCCGATTATATCGTTCTTATATCAATAAGACCAAAAATGAGCAAGTAATTGTCTGTTAAAAGTGGTTGCTCGAAATCAAATGTTTCCGCCTATAGGAATTCGAAGTGAGGTGTACAAACAAAAGATAATGCAAATTTAATTAATCAACAAATTGTTATGTAGCAACATTTACATAAATTTGTGTTTATTTAAAGAGATTTAAGCTCCTATGCCTTCAACATGTCCTCCATTTCTGTCAATGCAGGTTTGACAGCGTCGAAAGATGCCTTGAACTGCTTGTCGAACCATCGCTGGATCGTTCGCCAAAAGAGCAACTTCCTGACGAATGCGAGCTTGCAAGACATTCAGGTCAATTGGAGGGCTGGTATAAACTTTGGATTTCAAATACCCCCAAAGGAAGAAGTCGCAAGGTGTAAGGTTAGGCGATCGAGGTGGCCAGTCCACTGCATGGTGCAACGCGATGACTCGATTATCAAATAACTCTCTTAGGCGAGCAGTAACAGCACGAAGACGATGTGCTGGGGCCCCGTCTTGAACCCACCAAAGATGTCTGAATGTACCCCACTTGATTGATTGATTGATAAAACTTTATTTGACTACGCTGGCCACTTCAACCATAGCTGCTTTCCAAGTGGGGCGTAGATAAATGTTACAAAAATATATAAAATACAAAATCACTAAGAATATTAAGGACTACGAATACAAATACATATTACAAAACAAATGGTATACAAAACTCAAATAGCTAATTCGTCAGACTAACAGAGGAAATATTTCTATTGAAAGAATTTAAAGATTCGCTGTTTCTTACTTGTTCAGGAATGCTATTCCAGATTTTAACCCCACTATATCGAAAACATTTTCTGCCATACTCGGTATTTGGTCGTGGCAGAAAGAGAGACGAATTTGAACCTCGTAAATTATAACTGTGGATATGGTTAGAATTCTGGAACATTGATGAGAACCTCGATGGTGCCAAATTATTGACAACCTTAAACATGAGACGGGCCATATTATGTTTTCGCCTTTCTTCCAAGCTTATCCACCCTAATTGATCGAGGGCCAGTTGAGATTGCCCAGGCTCATCTTTAAAGTTCATTATAATTCTAGCACATCTGTTGTGAAGTTTTTGTAGTCGTTCAGACTGGCCTCTATTAATGGAATTCCAAACTTCACAACAGTAGTCGAAATGGGGTTGGACAAGACCATAATAGACCGACTTCAAAGTATCAGAATTAGTGAAATCCTTTATCTTTTTCATGGCACTTATTCCAGAAGATATTTTTTTAGAAACTTGGTCAATATGGCTGTCCCAAGTTAAAAATTGACCAATTTTGACTCCAAGAGTTTTTGTAACTTGAACCCCTTTAATTGGTTCATCTCCAATAAAAACACGCGGTTGTTCTTCTAACGTGTTAATATTGTGGCGTGATCCAATCAAAAGATATTCCGTTTTGACAAGGTTAAGAGAGAGCCTGTTCGATAGAAGCCATTCTCTGATATTATTGAGATCGACATTAACGGCCACTTCCGCTTCCTTAACTGATTTACCGGACACTGTAATGTTAGTATCGTCGGCGAACATGCGTGCTGTAGAGTGTTGTAAACAATTCGGCAAATCATTGATATAAATTAAAAACAGAAGTGGACCCAAAATTGAACCCTGAGGAACGCCATATTTTAGATATTTTAGTGTGGAAAGTTCCCCATTTACTTCACATTTCTGAGATCCATCTGATAAGTACGATTTGAGAAGCATAAGAGGCGTGTTCTAATACCATATAACTCTAGTTTAGCCAGTAAAATATCGTGGTTTACCGTGTCAAATGCTTTTTTTAAATCGAGAAAAACGGCAAGATTATACAAACCACGATCCATATTAACATACCACTCATCAGTACAATCAAGCAAAGCAGTGGACGTGGAATGAAAGCGCCTGAACCCAAACTGCTGTTCAGACAATAAATTATTGGTGGTTAAAATATTCGTATAACTGCTCATACAAGATCTTTTCAAATATTTTGCTGATGACCGGCAAAATTGATATTGGCCTATAATTGTCTAAAACGGAGCGTGAACCCTTCTTATGAAGCGGGATAACTCTAGCAATTTTCCATTCAGAGGGGAAAATTCCCATCCCAATAGCAGAGTTAAACAAATTGGTCAAAGATGGTGTAATTACAGAAGCAGATTTTTTTAGAATTTTAGCCGGTATTTTGTCACAATTAGTAGATTTAGAAATAGACAAATTGTTAAGTAGCCTAAAAACCTGTGATTCGTTAACAGGATGCAAAGTAAATTCCAAACTAGTATTTAAATTATCACTCATATGCCTGCCAAAATTTAATTTCTGAGTGTGTTCAGAGCAGGAGTCTCCAATTTTACCACCAATACTTGTAAAATAGTCATTAAGACAATTAGCCATTCTCATAGGAGAAGTAATTGTATCATTTCCTAGCTTTAATTCGTTAATCATTGTGTCCTTCTTTTTTCTCCCAAGGATATCATTAATCGTCCTCCAAGCCTGTTTAGGGTTGTTTTGATGTTTGCCAAATTTGCTTTTGTAGTAAACTTTCTTAGCTTCACGCATTGCAATGTTGACATTATTCCTATACTGTTTATACTGGCTCCAATCTTCAGTTAAATCCGACAAAATTGCTTTTCTTTTCAAACGGTCCCTTTCCAACATTTTGTTTCTGATATTCCTAGAAATCCATGCCACAGATGTTTTATTTCGTACCCGTCTTTCCCCAACCGGGGCATGTTTATCAAGAACAGTTATGAAAAGATTTTTCCAACATGCCCATTTATTATCAATATCAGATTCTCTGTCAACTAAATGCCACGGTAATTTTATAAGGTCGACTTTGAAATTCTCAACATTGAAATGCTTGAAGCTTCGAAATTCGACTTTTTTGCTAGCGTGAGGTTTAAGATATGAATTAATTAATTTTTTCTTACTACATAAATTAAACTATGATCACTCACTCCCATATGAATTACATCATGAAATGCAATTCGCTCAGGACAGGAGGTAATACAAACGTCTAGTAACGTAGAAGACGATTCCGTAATCCTTGTAGGCTTATCGATTACTTGTGTAAGTTGATAAAGTTGCATGATAGAATGTAAGTGTTTATTAGAAGAGTTGGACTGGTCTAACAGATTACAGTTTAGATCTCCTAATAAGTAAATTTCCTTATTCTCGTTATCGACATTCTTAAGCAAAGATTCAATTTGTGAGAAAGATTCGACGGTTGCTGACGGCGGACGATAAATAGTAGAAACGATAAAGGAACGAGAGTTGGGCCGGTTAATTTCCAAACATACTGACTCTAAATTTTCCGGCACTAAATCACCACGATTTAAATATGATATCGTCCGCCTAATGTAAAAACAGACACCGCCACCGTGTTTGTCCCTATCCATGCGAACTATATCATATCCGTCAATATTAACAAATTCACTTGGAATATCAGGGTGAAGTCTTG